AGGTCTTTTTGCCACTCCTGAAATATTTGCCTGTTATGTATTATCGGGGTTGTGGCACCAGAGTTGTCTGACAAAGAAGGCTAAATCTCTCACAAAACTACAAACCCCAGAATTCCATAGCACTGAACCATGGCAGTTAAAGCAGTGTCAAAATGCATTAATTCTGTAGTGCAAATGCATCCCCAGTTCTAGGTAAATAAGCTGCTTCTCTCTACAAGTGTATGTGACCTGAGTAAATAAAATAAAATGAAATAAAATAATATAAAATAAAACTGCTCTGTGTACAAGAAACAATTAGTTGCTTTTCAGAATCCATTATCCATCATAAACCTATAAAGGCTAAAGACTCAACTGATTTGATCAAACATCATGGCCCAGATCATTATGGGTAGTCAAGACTTCACAAGCTTCCTTGTGTTTGGAGGTCAATTTGTGCTTTACAGGACAAGCAAAGAAAAAGAAGTGTATGTGCGTTGGGGGGGGGGGGAGATTGAGACAGAGATGGAAAATATACCATTGCTTTAGAAAAAATAAATCAAAAGCATTCCATGTTAGTACCCAAGTGTCTTTTAAAACAATATTACTACCTAATTAAACATGCATTTTTTTAAAAAACGGTCCCCAAATTACACTGATAATATAAAGGGGCATTTAAAACATTTGAAAACAAAATATACGCCATCGATTTAGCTCCTCTCCCTTCCTCAGTTCCGCTTGACATCTGAGAAGAGAGACCACAACTGCATACCAGTTAGAGATTTGCCTGATTAAAAACAGTTTTGCCTATAAGTCACATCATGTATGAGACACAAGGTTTCTGTCAAGAACCCTGCTACTGGCAAAAAAGAAAAAAAGAACGGGGGAAAAAAAGAGGAAAATAATAAGAAAAAGAAGCTTTGCTGTTGTTGCTAGTAAGGAATTGGTAACTAGATCCATAGCCTGCTTCATGCTTGCTTTATAATTATACTATTTTAGTGGTAAGCCAAACATTTTGGCCAAGAGTAATTTAGATATTCTAAAGCTGTATTCAGTTTTTCCCCCTTTTAATGTTCGTCTTGACTGCCTTAGTCTTTGTACAACATATAATCTTCCTGCATTTCCCTCCCTTCTTATGGTTTCTGCAGTCCTTTGGTGTAACAGGACAAATACAACTTATTTGGCATAATGCTAGGAGAACCATCAGAAGCAGTCATTGTTTCAGAGAAGGAGTCCATTTTGTCCCAAGACTGTTTCTTGATTTAGCTTCATATATGTATTTTTCAAGATCGTCTTGCTTGGGGTGGATAGATATAAGGCTGGATTATACCTTAGGCTTTGAGAATTTTTAATTTGGATGTGTGAGATGTGAGATTTTAGCTTGGATGTGTTGGGTACAATGGAAAATATAGCCAAGCTGGAACCAGGTTGACTTGTCCCAACAAGCCACAGTGACCAAACATCCCAACTGGATTTTCTAGTCCTACCTGCCAGAGCGTTCCAGTTTCGAAAAAGCGCCGGCTGAGCCCAGATGGGACCCAAATTGATGGTGGCTGGTGATTTGGCGGTGATTTAACATGCGATGAAAATAGTAAAAATAGGAGGAAGAAATATCAACAATCTGAGATATGCTGACACCACCATAATACTAGCAGAAAACCTCACAGACGTGGAGCAACTACTAAGGAAGATCAAAGAAGAAAGTGCAAAGGCAGGCTTACTATTGAACATAAAGAAAACAAAAATAATGACCAAAAGAGAACTTACATACATTCAAACTAGACAATGAGGAAATAGGAATAGGGAAAGAGTTCTCATATCTGGGATTAAACATTGAGCAGAATGGGGACTAAAGCCAGGAAATCAGAAGAAGATTAAGAATGGGGAGGGCAGCCATGAAAGAACTAGAAAAGATCCTAAAATACAAGCAAGCGTACATGCGACAGAATACATTTATTGTCATAATAGAGAACAGTTTCATAGGGTTACAATTAGGTTTAGGTTTAGGGTTCAGGGGGTTGGACTGGATGGCCCTTGTGATCTCTTCCAACTCTATGATTCTATGATTCTATACTATTAGGGTTAGGGTTAGGGTTCTAATATTCAAGAGCCCCTGCGCCGGTGCATCCACACCTGGAAGCATAGGGCGCTTTAAATTAAAGCCTGCATTGTAGGATGCATGCTCTGGTTCGCCGACTCAATTTCCACCGCACGTGGGGTGGTGCATTTATACGGCCATTTTAAATCTTGGGCATCCTTTTTTCTGATGCACTGGTGTCGTGGCATACATACGCACATGTGAAGGTGCACACCTTTCCTGAAGAAGCGGAAAAAAGCTGCTCCTTTTTGGAGTGGCTCTTCCCAGCATATGGCACCTAGAGAGTGCTTTCCTGCCAGCTTTTAGGCATGCGTCATCTAAATGCCATGCCTCCAAGTCAGCCTGAAAGCACCTCTTTTTGCCCGTCTATACAACCTCTTAGACTGTCGTACTTTGGACACATCATGAGAAAGCTTGAATCGTTGGAAAAGACAATAATGTTAGGAATGGTGGAGGGAAGTAGAAAGAGAGGAAGAGATGGATGGGCTTTATTAAAGAGACCACGAATATGAGTTTGCAAGAGCTGGGCAGAGCAATAGAGGACAGGGGCCTGGAGATGTCTCATCCACAGGGTCGCCATGGGTCGAGACTGACATGAAAGCAATTAACAACAACAAAATCCCCGCCTCCTAGTTGCAGCCTAGGAGGATTGATTTGTTTTAAAACCCCAGGCAATAAGCTCCTGCATTATCTAAAACAGTGCAACTGAAAGTGTTGCTTCCTGGATCAATGCTGGTTCCTGAACCATTGGTTGCTGGTCTCTGGCAAGTTTGCAGGAAACAAAATCAGTTGTAGTCAATGGATGAAGCTGGTTGCACAGGTTTTGATAGATGTATGCAGTAATCTCTTAAATCTCCTTCAGCAGATGCAGTAGTCTATGGGCTTCTACAGATGGGCAGCCATGGGCTGCCCCGAGAAGCTGAGGATTGGGGCCCAGGCTGCCCCATGTCTCGGCCCCAATCCACCCTTTTGGCGACTGGGAAAGGAGCATCAAAATAGTGCTCCTTTCCCAAGCCACGGAAAGGGCGCCACAAGAGCTGCCATGCGGCTCTTTTACGCCTCTTCCAGCGCAGTGTGTAAAAATACTGCACTGGAAGGACCTCATCAGAGTGCTCACCGTGTGCAACAGCGGGCCCTCTGATGATGTCCTTGGAAAGGGGTTGGGGCGTCTGGCGTCCAGCTGCCCCTCCCCTTTCCTGGCTCCAAGACGGCGCTTTGTGCCATATGCAGAGCCCCTATGAAAGCTTATGCTACTAGCTTCTTTCTCCCAATGGCTGCATCTGCACTACAGAAATAATGCAGTTTGACACTGTTTTAATACCACGGTTCAATGCTATGTAAGAGTAAAAACTTTATTGTTAATAGCTAAAAGCTGTCACAATTTGGTACAGAACAAACCAATAAATACAAAAACAATATATAAAACCAGGGCACAAAATTTATAAGAATTTATAAAGGAACCATGAATAAGATACAATAATAATGATAAAAACATATGACAAGTAAGACGTCTAATTCTTACCCTCAGCTTGATAATTAAGCCTAATCTTGCCTGCAGCTAAACCACATTTTGCTACCATGGAGGTAATGTATACATTATTACTAGCCAAAAGAATACAGATTTGCTGGGTACGAGATCGGTCAGAAAGAGGATATAAAATATGATCAATGAACCTTTGCCTGAGGGCTGTATAAAGGGGGCATTGTAAAAGATAATGTTCAATATCCTCCACTGCCCCTGTTTCACATATACACATTCTTAATTGAATGGGGGGGGGGGGGTATTATTATATCTGCCCAACAAGTAGGCTGAAGGCATACATTGGAACTGTAAGGCTGTAAATGCTTTAATGCTATGAAATTCTGGGATTCATGTCTCTGGCACAATGGAAAAAAAATAATTGCCAGTCTTCCAAATAAGACAGCCCAAGAAAAACTGATCTAAAATACAGTGGGCTTATTTGAATAGAGAAAGGATTCTGCCACATGCAACTCATTACGACACAGTATAGGGATATGTAGGGTGCCCATTTACCAAACTGTAACAATCCCAAACTCTTGGTGTGTTGTCCAATTAAAGTTAAGCAGCATCATTATTGTTCTTATT